AAGATACAGCAAGGGTTTGGACTACGATTTCTTATCATGAACTTTAGAATGTCTGCCGAGAACCTCTCATCCCACATCACAATTTTGGTCACGGTGTTTACTTTGGTTGTGTTTTTTTTAAGTCACATTGTGCTAGGCTGGAGTCATAGGTCAAACTGGTAGAAACCAGGGGACAGATGCCTAAGATGCTGTGACCTCCAGATCTCTGCAAAGGTGCAGATGAGACAAAGTTATCCATTTCCTCGGTTTGCCCTTCTAAACAACTTCTAATCTAAAGGCTGCCAGCATGTATAGAGTTATAAGAAAAGAAAATGGAACCAATAATATATCTTTAAAAAATATTTTTATGGAAAGTTTATATATTTTTATGAAACGCTTATATTATAAAATTCATTAAAACTGTACAATTCAATGGTCTTGAGCATATTCAGAAGACTAAGTGACCGTCACCAATAAAGAAGGCTGTAGCCATAACCGACATTCCCATCCTCTCTGGCCCCTCCCTGCCTCACCCTGCCAACTACTAAACTACCCGTCTTATGTATCTGCCCATCCTGGACAGTTCATACAAACGGAATCACACCATATACACCCAGCTTCTTCCACTAAGCATGATGCTTATGTTATGCTAAATGTTACAGCAATTGTCCTTCTTTTGTACTGTGATTTATATCAGAACTTCAGTCTTCTTAATCCACTGTGTGGACACGCACATTTCCCCACCCACCCCCAATAATACACCTTCATATGTCCCATTCCCAATAATTACATGCCTTAGTTATAGTAGGATCCCAAAAACCATTAAGTACATCTGAGCTGTGTGGGATTAGAAACCTTCCCTGCCACATGAAGATCTTTGGTTTAAGTTGTCTCTGTCCCACCTTAACACGTTAGCTATGAAGCCCCTGGCACAGAGCCTTAACTCTTGTGGCAGCCTGAACGAATTCCCAGTGATTCTTACACATCCCTGGGATTTTAGCCCATCTGGTGTCAGTCTCCCCTCCCACCTACTGAGCTCCGTGAGCCCTCACATCTCTCTCAGACAAGTGAGGACTGAAGTTGGGGGCTTACAGGAGCAGTTGGTCATCAGAGAAATAACCAGGTTGGGCAGAGGCCAAAGCTGGAGAAATAACGGGCCTGGTTTGAGTACCGGAAAATGAGGTGTCAGAAAAGGTACAGGAAAGAAAGGACAATGTCTGCCACTTCATAAAACCAGCACTTTGTAAAAGGAGTCATTGGCCTGACAACAGTGCATGGGTTGAGGTCCAGGGGCCACGCAGACTGATGTCCCTGAATGGGATCGGGGGCCAGACATGGGAGGTGCAGAATGCAGGAGCCAGGGGCAGGGACCAACCATAATTGGAGGACTCCCATGTGATCGCCTCTGTCTATATCCCCTGGGAAGGGCACACCCTGCCTACCCGGGGCAGAGCTGGCTCCTGCCTGCATTTCTCAGGACCACATGTGACCAAGGGCCTCCTGGCCCCAGCTTGAGAGCCACACGCATCTCCCAGTGAGGTAGGTGCCTTGTAAAGAGGCTCAGGAGTGATGTGGACAGACTCAGACCTTGCACACTGGGTCAAGGCCAATTCCTGGTGGCTTTGCTCCCTACAGTCATGGTTTGAAGATGCACAGCCTCCTCGAGTCAGGTCAGCGAGTGCTGCTCTTTGGACTGGAAATCTCAACATGGACACAGTCCACCTCCTTCCCTCCCAGATAGTTGTTTCCCGGGCAGATGGGCAGGTCCTCCTCTCTGTAGCACCTTCTCCTGTCTACAGTGTAATTTCTTTTCTCTACGTCCTGGCTCCCCATGGGGAGTGTGGTCCTGGAGATGGGACCTCAGGTTTCCTCCTTCCTGTCTGGCTCACATTAGCAACGTGAGCAGCTCCGGGTGCAGACAGAGATGGCATCCGTCCCGGCTCTGCAAGACTGGGCTTCAAAAGCAGAAGTAGCAACAATTGCTGCCCCCCAAATTGTTGGGTAACAAAGTATTACTAACACACTGATACACCTTCAACTATGATTACTCTTATTAATCTACTGACCACATCTACATGATGGGCACTAGCATTGGTGTTTTACATATTCACCCCACATCATCACCCCAGGTAATGACATCAATGTCACTTATCCATTCTACAGTTGAAAACTCTGTTGTCAGTGAAACCAAGTAAAATATCCCAGGTCACGAAGCCAGGAACTAAACCCAATGGAGACCAATACAATAGGTAAAACTACAGTTAAACAAAGGAGTAGGGTGGACACTCAGGTTTGCTTTACTTATTTATCTTATTTTATTTTATTTATTTTTGAGACAGAGTCTCACTTGGTTGCCCTCGGTAGACTGCCGTGGTGTCACAGCTCACAGCAAACTCTAACTCTTGGGCTCAAGAGATTCTCTTGCCTCAGCCTCCCCAGTAGCTGGGACTACAGGTACCCACCACAACGCCTGGCTATTTTTAGAGATGGGTCCTGCTCTAGGTCAGGCTGGTCTTAAACCCATGAGCTCAGGCAATCCACCTGCCTCGGCTCCCAGCATGCTTTCTCACCCTAGGGTTGAGTGATGTGGGGTCATCAATCTCTAACTCTTGGGCACAAGCAATCCTCTTGCTTCAGCTTCCCAAGCAGCTGAGACTACAGGCACCTGCCACAATGCCTGGCTAATTTTTCTATTTTTGGTCTCTTTCTAAGGGTCTGGCTCTTGCTCAGGCTGATCTTGAACTCCTAAGCTCAACCAATTCACCCATCATAGCAGCTCAGGTTACAGAGTGCTAGCAGGACAGACGTGAGCCACCGTGCCCAGTTGGTGCTCAGTTTTGAAAGAATTTCTAGATTTATTATCTTGGGAAAAGAATAAAAATAGGCCTGGGTGTTCCTAAACATCATCCATTCAGCAAGCAGCAGATCAGGTGTGGTTTGCAGCAGACAACGGGAGGGGGGGGGGGAGTAAATTGGTAAAAAGCAGATTTCAAGGGATTTTGACTTATCTCTGGAAAGAGAACTTTGTATTTAGTAAATGTCAGAGGGTTAATAAAAAAATTGAAAGGCCAGGCGTAGTGGCTCATGCCTGTAATCCTAGCACTCTGGGAGGCTGGGGCGGGTGGACCACTTGAGCTCAGGAGTTCCAGACCAGTCTAAGGAAGAATGAGACCTCATCTCTAGTAAAAATAGAAAACCAGCAGAGTGTTGGAGCCCACATCTATAGTCCCAGTTACTCGGGAGGCTGAGGCAAGAGGATTGCTCAAGCTTAAGAGTTTGAGGTTGCTGTGAGCTATGATGATGCCACAGCACTACCCAGGGCCGTTAGAGTCCTGACCAGACCTGTGCTTTTCACACCCTGATGAGCTTCCCCTTGTTCTGGTCGACCGTAGGTAGAAAGGCCAAATTTCAAGAATAGAAACCCAAAGAACACAGCCAGCATCGTCTCCACTGCCCAGACTCAGCTTACCAGGCGCAGACCCCTCCCCTGTCCCTCGATGACGTCCCTCCTCTCCTGGAACTCAGGTTGCCCCAACCTATCGGCTCTCACACACCCATCAGTCCATCACGGAGCCCATCTGTCAGGCTCTCCACATTGTCTTTAGCTCAATCAAGGCCTTTTCATTTTAAGCAAAATTTCCCACTTTCAATCCTACAATGAAAAGCTCCGACATCATAAAGGAATGTGTGGGGCCATCAGAACAGAGCATGACAGTCATTACAGTTAGTTCGTGAAGAGATCACGAACACCTGCCATGACCAGAATGAGTTGTTGTTCATTAGTGAAGATGGCAAGTCAGAGGGTGCTCGGGAAGATTAAAAAGGTCATCCCTGTAAAGTATTTAGCAAAATGTTTGGCACAGAGTTAAACATCATAAAAAATCCATTGTTATCGTGCCTGTGCCTGTGATTATATTGTCATTTGCCATTATTATTGCCCTGAGGAGTGGGACAATAATCCTGGGCTTAAAATGTCCCGGTCCTCAAGTGATGCCATCTCATTAGTCAGACCCAGAAGCATTTAGCACTGCAAATGCTAACACGTAGTATTTGCAATAAAGAAGGGGTTGCCTTGCCCTCCTTTCTGCTTCCCCCCGGGGTGGGAGCAACTGTCCAAAACGTTTGCTGCTACGAGTCGGGACGGTACAGTATTTTTGCCTTCCGTGGGCTGGACCATTTGTATTGGTGCCCCAGTGAGCACCGTCTCTCTTTTACCATGTCTCCTGGGCATTGTTCACCGTGTTCTT